TCCCTCTCCCCTCTTCCTGTTTATTTTTCCTTTCTTCCTCTTCATCTCTCTATCACTTTCTCACTTGCTTTCTCTGTCTGTCTCTCTCATTTTCCCTCTTTCTTTCTTTCTTTCTTTCTTTCTTTCTCCTTCTCCCCAACTTTCTGCTGATCTCTCACGCTTGCTCTCTCTTTCTGTCTCTCTCTCGCTCACATCCCCATCTCTCTGTCTTCCTCTCATTTTTCCTACCCTCACACTTACCCTCTGATCTTTCATTCATTCTCTAACTCTTGTTCTGTCTCCCTCTGACTCCTCACTTACTCTTTCATTCTCTCCTTCTCTCTGCTTCTTATTTTCCTTTCTCTCTTGCTCTCTCATTCTCCCTCTCCCTCTCTCTCTCTCTCCCTCACTCCCTCTTTTCCTTTCTCTCTCTCTTTTCTGCTTCTCTGTTCTCTCTCTCCCCCCTTTCTGCTTCTTCTGTTACTTTCTCTCTCTCTCTCTCTCTCTCTCTCTCTCTCTCTCTCTCTCTCTCTCTCAGTATTTTAGGCTTCAGTGTTGTTCTGTTTTCTCTCCATGTCTAATAAAAGTCAGTATACTGTAGTGACTGTCTGAGCTCAGGAGGCGTGGCCATGTGAGCAGCCACGTGTGGAGGCTCATGGTAGGCACACACCCTCCTAGAAAGGACTTCATTGTTGTTGCTAATGCCAAAGTTTGTTAGTTTAAAGGTTTGTGTAAGTGTTTGTGTTATTCTGTGTTGGGGTTTGTGGATGTTGTGTGTTGGGGCTGGTTATCGTGAGGGTGAAGCCTGTGGCCGGTGGTGACCCTCCCTCATTAGTTCAGTGCTGTGTAAGGGCCTTTCTGCCTGGTGTTTAATACAGAGCACTTCTCGCGGTGGGAATCGTGCGTTCCCTGTACCGGTGCTACAATATAAACCCTGTAACTGTAAGACTGGTGGAGGTTTTTCACGCTCATTCTCCTGGCTAATGAGGATCTGTTGTGCCGTTTGTGGTAAATCAGGCTCTTTTTTGTTTAATTTCAGCAGCAGCTCCGGTATGAATTGTACTGACATGTGAATAGACTCAACACGCTGACAGATCGACAGGCTGTGAAAGCTGCAGTAGCTGAAAGCGTCTGTAGAAGACTGGACAGTGTCGGTTCTCCTGATCAGTCAGAGCTCTGATAATCAGCGCTAGGAAATCATTACAGTGCTTTTGTTCACGGCTGCTTTGCTCATCATTTTCAAATCTGAATTGATATCCCCGTCCTCGCGTTTGCTGTTTTTGCTGATGGAACAACGAAAAAAGGAAATGAATTTGAGATGTGAAGCTCTCATTTGCAGATGAAAAAGTGCTCTGGCATCATCAGAGGCCCATTAAAGAGATGAAAGCAGCTCAGCGACTCTTGACTCGCTTTTGAAGTTTAAGACTTTTCTGAGTATTCGCTGTGTGTTTTAACGCCTTCCTGGAATTGGTTTGAAATGTCTGACGAATGTCATGCTTTGTGATTCATATCATGTCAGTGAAAGTGTTTTGTTTTGCACTGTATTACTAGTTAAGAAATAATTGGGTCGTTGAGTGAATATTATAATAGTTTTGCAATGAGTGAATGGATCAACGTTGCAGACGTAGCTTCTAACCCATTAAAGTTTAAGGGTCTGTAAATATGTCCCCACTTTAAAGTACCTATTCATCTCCACAGAGCAGCTACTATTTGGGTGGTGGATCATTCTCAGCACTGCAGTAACACTGACGTGGTGGTGGTGTGTTAGTGAGTGTTGTGCTGGTGCGAGTGGATCAGACACAGCAGTGCTGCTGGAGCTTTTAAACGCTCTGTCCACTCACTGTCCACTCTAGTAGACACTCCTACCTTGTCGGTCCACCTTGTAGAGATGCTAGCTCATCTGCTGCTGCACAGTTTGTGTTGGTCATCCTCTCGTCCTTCATCAGTGGTCACAGGACGCTGCCCACAGGATGCTGTTGGCTGGATATTTTGGTTGTTGGACTATTCTCAGTCCAGCAGTGACACTGAGGTGTTTAAAAACTCCAGCAGCACTGCTGTGTCTGAGAATGATCCACCACCCAAATAGTACCTGCTCTGTAAGGGTCCATGGGGGTCCTGACCACTGAAGAACAGGGTGACAAAGTATGCAGAGAAACAGATGGACTACAGTCTGTAACTGTAGAACTACAGAGTGAAACTATATAGTAAGTGGAGCTGATAAAATGGACAATGAGTGTAGAAACAAGGAGGTGGACTTGAATGAAGTGGCCAGTCAGTGTATGTGAGTTCTGTACTCATTGGCTGGAGCAATAGCAGAGCTCTTTTTGGTGCTATTTAGAACCCTTTTCAAAAGTGAGGTTCTGTAAGAGGTTCTGCATAGAACCCTATGCAACACACTCTCCATCAATCTGAAGAACTATTTCACCATCCACAGAACCATTTAAGCATGCAAATGGTGTTCATTATCTTTACTAAAGAACCCATCAAAAGTTATGTTACTGCATAAAAACTGAACATAGGAATGATACTATATATATATATATATATATATATATATATATATATATATATATATATATGTATATATATATATGTATATGTGTGTGTGTGTGTGTGTGTGTGTTTGTGTGGTCTTTTTTCTTTTATATATATTTTATATATTTAAACATTACAAGGGGGCTATGCACCAAGATATTCACTCACCTTCGCCCCTGTGTAAATGTGATTTCACAATAAATACAATTTGATAAAGAAGCCTTAAAGATCCATCTTTTTTAGGATAGAACTTTTCATAGTGATTACTGAATAATTTATGGTCATTACTGAATAATGGGAGACTAATAACCAAATAATAAGCTGAGAGTTCAGGAGGTTAATAACGTTTCACTTCTTACAAGCTTGTTTTTGCCGCTCCTGATGATGATGACAGTGATTTTATTGCTGTTATTATCTTCTGATGGACTGTCATTAAAGCTTCACTCAGTCAGACCTTTTAGTCGAGTCAAGCATGGCACACAACAGTTCCTCCAGAGCCACAGTGCTACATTTAAAGACAACAAATCCAAAATATCTGGACAAACATTAACATGGACACTCCAGCCAAAATGGAAATTGTAAACACTGATTCATTTGTTGTAAACATGCCTACTTTCCTCATATAGTTGTGCAAAAACAGCCTTGGGAGTAAAAGTTTTTGGTTTAAAGGCTAAGAAAGCTTCACTGGTGGGATGAAATTTTGGGATATATATTCCTGACATATACACTAATCAGCCATAACATTAAAACAACCTCTTTGGCCATTTTATCAGCTCCACTGACCATATAGGAGAACTTTGTAGTACAGCTACAGACTGTAGTCCATCTGATTCTCTGCATACTTTGTTACCCTGTTCTTCAGTGGTCAGGACCCCCATGGACCCTCTATTAGACACTCCAACCTTGTCGGTCAAACTTGTAGATGTACAGTCAGAGACGATAGCTCATCTGCTGCTGCACAGTTTGTGTTGGTCATCCTCTAGTCCTTCATCAGTGGTCACAGGACGCTGCCCACAGGACGCTGTTGGCTGGATGTTTTCGGTTCTCAGTCCAGCAGCAACACTGAAGTGTTTAGAACTCCAGCAGCACTGCTGTGTCTGATCCACTCGCACCAGCGCACACTAACATGCCACCACCATATATATGTAACCTCACCATATATATATATTTATATATATATATATATATATATATATGAAGCTGAAAAGAGGATGGCTTCCACAACAGGATAATGATCCTAAACACGTTAAAATCCACAATGGACTACCTCAAGCTGAAGGTTCTAGATGGCCCAAGCATTTTACAGAACTGGAAGCCTTTTGCAAGGAAGACTGCGCAAAAATCCCCCTAACAAGAGCTGAAAGTCTCTTAACTGGCTACAAAAAGCATTTACAAGCTGTGATACTTGCCAAAGGGGCTGTTACTAAGTACTGACCACGCAGCATGCACAAACTTTTGCTTCAGGCCCTTTTTATTTTGAAACTATAAAAGATAGAAATAAAAAGTAATCTTGCCTAAAATCTTCAAGAAATGTATCATCAAGTCACTGGATACTCAATACTTTGCGTATACAATACAAGATGCTCCTCATCACCTCCACACCTCCATTTTTGACTCTGCTCCTTCATTCGTATATCCTATCACGTAAACTCAGGTCCTCCAGCTCTGGGCTTTTGGTCGTTCCCCAGATTAGATTGTTTTCTTGGGGTGGCAGGTCCTTTAGCCCTATGGCCCCTAAGCTCTGGAGCTCCTCGTCCCAACACATTCATAACTGCTCATCCTTCTCCTCTTTAAAACTGACTGAAAATGTACCTCTGCACTCAGTGCTGCTCTTCTACCTCAACTTCACAGCCTTACTGTATGTTATTTTCCATTTTCTGTCCTGTTCATTTTACTTCTTTTGGAATTTGAAATTTGGAAACATAAATAAATCCTATTAGTAGTAGTAGTAGTGGTAGTAGTAGTAGTTTTGTCCCGACTGCGACATCAGTTTTTTGTTAGTTGGTGTTTGTTGAATGCATACTGAGTGTTTAACTGAGACAACACTACTGAAGGACAACACAAGAAGAATATACAATTGTGAATTTAGGAGACTGAGAGATGCAGTGATGCAGTACAGAATATTACATAACATGACAAATAACATATTAAATGTTAGTTTTAAGCCCAAATGCTGCTCAAAGTGCAGCACAGATGATAAATACAGAGCAACAGATGACCATATCCGCAGTGAATAGATATAGCTATGGTAATATAAAGGTCCATTCAGAGCTTCAAGAGAGCACCTTTAAAGTCAGTGTCACTGAGAAATGATGTCATCAAACAAAAAGAAAAAAGGAAAGAGGATATTTTAGAAGTGGGAAAAAGTCAGTACATTTTGATGGATGATTACAGAAAAATGAGATTGTTGTCTTTTAACCCCTTTCTAAAAAATGATTTTAGTGTCAGGTTGACTTTAACGCCCCACTTGTTGGTCCTCTGTACAGGTGAGCCTGTGGAGGCGGAGATTTGTGAAGAGGATCCCCCCCCTTCAGAGGTACCCTGTGACATGGCCTGCCCTGGGGACTGCGTGGTCAGCTCCTGGTCTGATTGGTCCTCCTGCTCTCACTCCTGCACCAATAAGAACGCAGAAGGCAGACAGAGCCGCATGCGCACCATCCTGGCCTTACCTGGTGAAGGTAACACTCACACTCACACTCAGTCACTCATCTACATCTCACCAAATGAAGGAAATATGAAAGTGAATGGTGACTTAACTCCCCCCTTTACAGCAAACCAATGTCAAGCTTGTAACAATAGAAGAACCCTTTTTAGAATATATAGAACCGTATACAGCACATTCTCCACCAATCTGAAGGACCATTTAACCATGGAAAGAACCCTTTAATCATGAGTGTTCATAGTTCTATATAGTTAACAAAGTTATTTAATGAAAGATTACTAATCATTAATGTGCTGTTTATCTATCTGCCAATCAATCAATCAATCTATCAATCAATCAGTCAGTCAATCAACTTACATTTGCGGCTTATGTAGCATGAATTGGCTTAAAATGTTGACCGTAGTTAGTGCAATACAATGGAACAAGGAATATTTAGAAAAAGAAATACTTAGAAAAAGAAATATTCAAGTTTTGCAGTTAATTTAAATTTAGTTTTAAGTGATTTGTGGCTGACCTAAAATTTTAAGTTAAGTGAACACTAAAAAAGAAGAACAACCATCTTTGTCTTATATACTTATTTACTTATTATACAATTACTTAAATGTTCCTTTTGTAAAGTTAAACCAACATTTTTTATGGTGATGGTCAAATACACTTCATTTGGATTAAGTGCATAATGAACATTAAAACATACCTCGGTATAAGAACTCCTCCCACTACTATCACTCACCCACCCCCTCACACGCTCTCTCTTTTTCACTTCCCATGATCCCCCAGTGCTGAAATATGGAAATTTGTCCCAGCCTCGTATTCTCCATGCAGCCCACCGAGCCTTATTAGTCACACAATCCCTTATTAATATTCACGCAATCTGTGCCGGATTCATTATTGTGCATTGTGGGCCACTTAACGGAGCGCTGAGTCGCTCAGCAGCCTGCGCTGAAGCTGAATGTCAATACAATGTCATTGACTTCAAGGGCAGCTGGCGTTGGAATCGGTTTTAATTATAGAAAATGTAGAGGCATAAATAAATCCCACACTGCAGGTCACAGCCATTTACATCATTTATTACAGAGGTGCTGAGTTTAGTCGTGAATAGAACTCCTGGTGCTAATACTTTTACTTATGAGAGCATTTAACAGAGATCATTTCACACTCTTAAAGGAACCCTGACTGTACACACTTAAAAATCATGGTTCTTCAAGGGTTCTTTAGTAAAGAAAATGGTTCGATGGAGCACCGAAAAGGATTCTTCTATTGTTATGATGTCAGGCTTGTTACAATAGAAGAACCATTTTTGGTGCTATGTAGAATCCTTTTCAAAAAGGTTCTATATAGAACCATATACAGGACTTTTTCCTTCTGAAGAACCTTTTAATCATCTAAAGCATTTTTTGAATGTTCATGGTTCTATATAGAACCATTTTCTTTACTAGAGAACCCTTGAAAGACCATCTTTTGTAAGTGTGTATGGCTTCAAATGATGTACATGTCCAAAGCTATTGAACCACAATGTTTTGTTTATTATAACGGTAATAAGGTTTTCTAGGAACAGCTGGAAAGGCTGAAATATGTATTTGAGTTGAATCAGATTTTGCTCATGGTTCATCACTCAGTATACAAGACGAAGAGCAAGCATTTGATGCCACAACAAAAATGGCAACCTACTATTACAGGGATGCTGTCAATTTCTAATAAGAAATAAAACATTTTACTCAGTCTGAACATTATATTTTAACAGTACTGGACACGTATATTGTATTGAAGCTCACTTGTCTTAACAGTCGGGGTTCCTTTAAATGCTAAAATGGTCAAATAAAGGTTGTTTTCCCTTCCAAGCCATCATGGCAAATATATTTCATGTAGATGTGTCAATAATTCTGCATTACATTAGAATCTGGGGATCTAAAATTGTTGCTGTACTATTTAAATATAATTACATGTTTATTATATAGGTATGTAATTAACTACATTATGATTCTGTTCACATTATGTATGCACAGTTCTTCAAATTCAAATCATAATAAAATATCTCCTCTTCTTACAAACACTAAAGTGGTCTGAATTCAAAGTTTGCACTTTTCGCACAGTTTCTCCACTTTTTTCAAAGAGCGATAAGGTAGGAAAAATTAACTTAGCTTAGTTTATTAATGGTATGTAATAAATATGTAATTGTTATTTCATGCTTTATTTGAAACTATTTGAATTATTGACTGCTTACTTCTCTACATACAAATAAAAAGAACACTGATAATGCTTTTAATCAATGTGTTATATTTGAATTTAATGGGTAGAACAATATTTTTTTATTAAAACATTGTATGTAAAGTCGCAACTTTATAACCGGAGCCCAATTATGATTATAAAAGAGTAAAACAATATATATCAACTTCTTAGTACTAATGAACTTATAACAAAAGAAGTGTATGCATAGTCAATTAAAAAACGTGCACAGTTGCTAAGTAGTCAGTTGCTATAGTCAAGTATATAACTTTGACTTATGAGAATCAGGTAAATAAATCTTCATTAACAAGCTATAATTAATGATTATGTTTCAATAAGTCAAAGTAATGATTCATTATCTGTATGTCAATTAGTAAGTGGTTGAAATGATAGCATTTATTAATGTTGGATGTTAATAGGAAACACTAGAGTCCCCACAAGAAGATAAATTAGATATAGACACACATATATATGTGTGTGTGTGTGTGTGTGTATAATATATGTATTATATATATATGTATATAGGTAGGGAAATAGATATAAATATATAGATATACACTACATATTCATGTGCAGCAAAGAAACTAATAAATGTTAATGAAAACATCAAAGCAATCTATTACAAATTCAAACTGTAGTAGAATTACAGTCCTGCTCACTTCCTGGAAAAACTTCTCTCATTACTCATTCTTTAAATTCTATGTTACTTTGTATCAAATGATTTTACTATATTGGCAAATAATTATGCTTGTTTTACTTAAATAAAACAAAGTTTAGAAATAAGAATAATAATCTTACAAAAATCTCGAAATGAGTAATATTTGATATAAAGACTAGATTTGCTAAGACATCGTTTTATGCGGTGTAAACGTTTGGGCCGCTCAGGAGCCTCAGCTAATTTAAAAATGTGCCTCCAGGCGGTGCTGTTCAGGTCTCTTACCTAGAACCTTACAATCACTAAATCCACCCCTGTTAAATATATATTTAGCGATTATATAATTATCAACAAGCTATTAGCTAAAAATGACGTCACTGTTAATTAGGGCCAATAATTATAAAGTGTTGCAGAAATAATCGATACGAAATGACCGTGTTATTGTGTTATTGTTACTGGGTTAAAATGAATGATTGAAACGAGGGCTGTACTTCAGTGGAAAAGTCTCTAGGCTGTAATTGAATTAATTGCAGTGTCTCTCTCTCCCTCTCCCTCTCCCTCTCCCTCAGGAGGTAAAGCCTGTCCTCCTGCCCCAGCTCTGGAGCAGTGGAGATCCTGTAATGATCATCCCTGTATCGTTTTCTACTGGGAGACCTCCTCCTGGGAGCCGTGCACTGAGGATTTGGCCGCCGCTCTGAACAGCAGCGGCTACTGGAACGAAACGTCCACCTGCGCAGTCGGCGTTCAAAATCGTAAAGTGACCTGCATGAAGACGAACTCAGGACCAGTCGTTCCTAAAAGGTACCTAGTCCTGTCTGACATATATATATCTGTCCAGTTCACTGAAGCTTCATTTTGTTTATGTACAGAACTGGGCAAAAGTCAGAGACCATCATTTCATTCATTTTATTTTAAGTCTAAACAGTCATTGAGTGCAAGTTATTCACTGTTCAGATGTTTCTAAGGAGATTAGACATAATGTAATCCACTTGCATAAATTCAAAGAAAAATAGGTGAAAAAACTGGAGCCTCAAAGAAAATGGGGCTCCTAACAACCAGCTGGAAGAGCTGGTCGACCCCAAAACTGCCCCCATCAGATAAACAGCACTTAAAGCTTTCATCTCTGAGAGAGAGGAGAAAATCAAGCTGCTTCAGATCTGAAAACATCCACAGGTGTTTCTGTCCATCCTTCCACTGTGAGAAGACGACTCAGCGCTGTGGGTTTGAAAGGATGTGTGGCTGTCAAGAAGGAGGATTCTGTCATTTTCGGTTAAATAAATAATTTGTAATGGATGTTTTGATTGGAAATTAAATGAAATAAATAAAGTGTGGTCTCTGAATTTTATACAATAATTTATCGCTGCTGTCAGGATAAAACCTCATTTTTCATTTTTTGACATAATTTGAAATTAGATTTAGTTGTTGAGGTGGCCGTGTAGTTTTCTGTTAAATATTTGTTTCTCCTTTTTTGAAAAATGAGACTGAAAAATGAATATCTGGTACTTAATGGCTATTTTGACTAGAAATTACACTAAGTAAGGGTGGTCTCTGACTTTTGCACAATATTTTATAAATAAATAATATATATATATATATATATATATATATATATATATATATATATATATATATATATATATATTAATAAATAAAAACAAAAAAATTAAAGCTATATACTCTTGTTTTATTATTATAAAATATATTGAAATATATACTATAAATAATACACATTTTTATTTATTTATTTTATTTAAGATATATCTTTATTTGATTTTCATGTTATTTATTTCTCAGGTTATTAATTCAATAATCTTTACCTTTACTTATGCTTTAAACATGGTTACATGGTTTTATTAGTAACTTTCTTTATCGTTATTTGTATTTTTCTGCAATATTTTCTTTCCATGTTGTGTTGAAATAGCTGTTGTATTTCAGGCGCCTCCACATTTCTTGTTTATGAATATTACTGACATCCTGCTTCATTATAGTTAATCAGGTCGTTGATAAGCACAGACAGCTGTGCCAAGAAATCTCAAGGAAAAGCAGGAGAAAAATACAGTAAACAATGAGCTGCCAGACTCGTAAACATACACGTAGAGCATTGGCTGGATACCCAGACTCAGATTACGCCTTAACTTAGACTGAAAAGGATTTTCATTGGTGAATCACCGTCCTCACAGCGGTGTGGTCAACGACTAAATTAATCCATACGCAGGAATCTGGCTGTATGATTAATTAAATTAATACGTTTGGGTGATGTTCAGCAGTGTTTCTCTGTCTTTGTGCTGTGTTTGGACTGTGTAGCTGCACTTGAGAAAACCTCCTTTCTGTTTCTTGGAACTTAAGTCTTGACTGGCTCTGTAAGGAAGGGATAATCTACAGCGAGGGCCTCAGTGTTGCAGATATAAGTCCTGACAGGGCGGAGAAAAAGTCCCCGGGGGTATTAAACGCTCTGAAGTCTGTTATAAAACACCCTGTTCTGCTCAGATCCGTCATTAAGCACTGAGTGGATACGCCGTGTTTTTCCGAGCGAACCGTTCATGTAGGTGTGTTCCTGGACTCCTAAGCTTTGTCTGAGTTGCGCTTTGGTTTATGGGGTCATCCAGGCTTTATGGGTCTCGTTTGATGGCCTTGTTGGCATTTACACTTGCAGGAATGCATTTTGAGACATAAAAGTCAGCCGAGCACAAAGCGTCTGCCGCCGCACTCACTCGCTCAATAATGTGTTTATTGCAAATAATGATCCCACTTTAATGACTCTGGAGCTCCGTCCTTAGTCACCCTACCAACCCCGTTAAGACCCACCACTACAGCGCCAGGCGTGTTGTACCTTTTAATAGGTGCCCTTGTCCGACTGTGCCCTGCAACCATGGCCAATTGGTGATAGTATTGTGGTGGGGGGCTTGCTGGCAGGTGAGAGAGGGTCCCTCCTGTGAATACTGACTGAGAAGCTGCTGCTAACTAAACTGTGGATCCTCTCAGTCGATATCAGTGGTTCCTCTTCTCCAGTAACCTGGTTCAGCCATGTTATGTAGAAGCACCACACAAAACCTGCTTCAACCTGAAAAACATGAACACACCCCAGGTTCTGCTCGGAGACCTGAGAGCTAACTTTGCTCTTCCCTCGGTTTGGTAGCTCTTGGTGTGGTTTGGTAGTTTTGGGGTACAGTTTGGTATTTTCTAGTGCAATTTGGTAGTTATTGGTATGGTTTGGTAGTTTCTGGCATAGTTTGGTAGTTAAGGGAACAGTTTAGTAGTTTCTGGTTTAATTGGGTCATTCTTGGTATGGTTTGTAGTTTTGGGGTACAGTTTGGTAGTTTCTAGTGCAGTTTGGTAGTTCTTGATATGGTTTGGTAGTTTTGGGGTGCAGTTTGGTAGTTTCTAGTGCAGTTTGGTAGTTCTTGATATGGTTTGGTAGTTTTGGGGTACAGTTTGGTAGTTTCTAGTGTAGTTTGGTCATTCTTGGTATGGTTTGGTAGTTTTGGGGTACAGTTTGGTAGTTTCTAGTCTAGTTTGGTCATTCTTGGTATGGTTTGTAGTTGTGGGGTACAGTTTGGTAGTTTCTAGTGCAGTTTGGTAGTTCTTGATATGGTTTGGTAGTTTTGGGGTACAGTTTGGTAGTTTCTAGTGTAGTTTGGTCATTCTTGGTATGGTTTGGTACTTTTGGGGTACAGTTTGGTAGTTTCTAAGGTAGTTTGGTAGTTCTTGGCATGGGTTGGTAGTTTTGGGGTGCAGTTTGGTAGTTTCTAGTGCAGTTTGGTAGTTCTTGATATGGTTTGGTAGTTTTGGGGTACAGTTTGGTAGTCTCTAGTGTAGTTTGTTCATTCTTGGTATGGTTTGGTACTTTTGGGGTACAGTTTGGTAGTTTCTAAGGTAGTTTGGTAGTTCTTGGCATGGGTTGGTAGTTTTGGGGTGCAGTTTGGTAGTTTCTGGTGTAGTTTGGTCATTCTTGGTATGGTTTGGTAGTTTTGGGGTACAGTTTGGTAGTTTCTAGTCTAGTTTGGTCATTCTTGGTATGGTTTGTAGTTGTGGGGTACAGTTTGGTAGTTTCTAGTGCAGTTTGGTAGTTCTTGATATGGTTTGGTAGTTTTGGGGTACAGTTTGGTAGTTTCTAGTGTAGTTTGGTCATTCTTGGTATGGTTTGGTACTTTTGGGGTACAGTTTGGTAGTTTCTAAGGTAGTTTGGTAGTTCTTGGCATGGGTTGGTAGTTTTGGGGTGCAGTTTGGTAGTTTCTAGTGCAGTTTGGTAGTCCTTGATATGGTTTGGTAGTTTTGGGGTACAGTTTGGTAGTCTCTAGTGTAGTTTGTTCATTCTTGGTATGGTTTGGTACTTTTGGGGTACAGTTTGGTAGTTTCTAAGGTAGTTTGGTAGTTCTTGGCATGGGTTGGTAGTTTTGGGGTGCAGTTTGGTAGTTTCTGGTGTAGTTTGGTCATTCTTGGTATGGTTTGGTAGTTTTGGGGTACAGTTTGGTCATTCTTGGTATGGTTTGTAGTTGTGGGGTACAGTTTGGTAGTTTCTAGTGCAGTTTGGTAGTTCTTGGCATGGTTTGGTAGTTTTGGGGTGCAATTTGGTAGTTCTTGGAATGGTTTGGTAGTTTCTAGTGCAGTTTGGTAGTTCTTGATAGTTTTGGGAACAGTTTAGTAATTTCTGGTTCAGTTTGGTTGCTCCTGGTATGGTATGGTAGTTTTGCATACAGTTTGGTAGTTTCTGGTGCAGTTGATAGTAGTTTGGTAGTTCCTGGTATGGTTTTGTAGTTGTTGGTGTGGTAGTTTTGGATTCAGTTTGATAGTTTCTAGTATAGTTTTTTTTTTGTATGGCTTTGTAGTTTTCAGTACAGGTTAGTAGTTTCTGGTGCAGTTTGGTAGTTCTTGGTATGGTTTGGTAGTTCAAAGTGTGGTCTGGTAGTTAATGTAGTTAGCTAATGTAGTTTGGTAGGTTCTTAAACAGTTTGGTAGTTTCTAGTGCTTGTTTGGTTCTTGGTTTGGTTTCATAGTTCTTGATACGGTTTGGTAGTTCTTGGTGTGGTTTGATACTTTGTAGTATTTTTGGTAGTTTCTCATATGGTTTGATATTTCTCGCTATGTTTTGGTAGTTTGTGGTATGGTTCAGTAGTTGTTGCTATGGCTCAGCTGTATGGTAGTTTTTGCAGTAACACTTTATTCTGATGGTCCACTGTAGACGCTTTGTAGATGCTCAGTGTGTCTATAAATAACATTCAACTAAATATCTATTAAATGCAACTGAGCTTCATGCTGAATGTGAAATATTCTATTAAATCTATTCCTAAATCTAAACCTAACCTTAACTTTAACACAAAACCTACACCAGACTAACACTATCCATGATGATGATGTCACCAGAAAGTTTGTTAATACAAAGGACCGCTGTTGTCCAGATAGTATTTGTGTGATGGCCTACAGTGGACTACTATTGGGTGTCACTACTAGGTTGAGAGTGGTCCACCACTCAAAAATATCCACACAGAAGCAGCTCTGTGGTCAGAAACTGACCAGTGATGAAAGGCTAGAGGACGGCTAACACGAACTGTACATCAGCACAGACAGCATGAGTTTGTGCCCCAGTCTTTCTAATGATTTCCTCTAAACAGTTGTGTAAACAGTCCTGAAAGGCCTTTCCCTCCTTAACATTCGGCCACACTTGTAATGTCTGTACTTTTTAATGGTAATTGATGTCTGCAGTCCAGCCCTGCCAGTGTGGCCAGCCTGGTCACTGCTGTAGATTTATATGACAGTCCAGTACAGTAAACACTCGAGAGGTTTGAGGAGTAAAGAGGAAATCA